ATAATTATATATAATATATATATGTATATATATATTTGTATTATATTATTATATTTATATTATATTAATATATATATAATATATATATATATACAATATAATATAACATAGTTGTAAAAATATATTCAATTATGAAAATATTTTTTGTTTTGTAGGGTTTGATATTCCCAGGCTATGGAAAGTATGGTTGAGGAAAATGGATCAGCTGTTGACCCATTGTCTGCAGGTTCTCAAAGCGGCGATGCAGCACCAGCAATAGCAACATCGGTACAATCTCTCAATAGAACACAGCAGCAAACTCATCATCTGGTAGCTTCTACCAGCATTGTGCAACTGACACTACCTACGTCAGGAACAACACAGGTATACAGGAGAATCTCCTGTGTATCTATGTGATCATTTATTTATCTATTTTAGTTGAAAGCATGCATATATAATTTATTTATGTTTTTAATCATAATTATCAGTTAATCAAATAAATATTGTGTATATATTCAATCTTGCATAATGCTGGGTCAGAATTAAAATTAAAGAAATTAAAATTTGAATTCATTTTCTTAATTAATTTAATTAAATTTTATTTTGAACATAATTAATATAATATTATAATATTAATGATAATATTTATATTCATTTTACTTGCATATGCATGATAATACTAGTCAATATCAAAATTTGTTATTTTTGGTTTATACTAAATACATTTTAATTTTATAAATATTCATGTTCATTTAGTTAATAATATATATTCTTTAATATTCATAATAGTTTATATGAAATGCTCTTGCTTTATATAGGTACAATCTGTTATACAACCTAATCAACAATCAGTAATTCAGACTGCAACAAATATTCAACCTGTTGCTATTTCAAAAGGAAATGTCATTCTTGTCAGTAAACCCAACTCCGTTATACAAACAGCTCAAGCAAGTTTACAAACACTTCAGGTGAGTTTTTTCAATTTTGATCAATAATTTTTATTTATATTTAAAGATTAAACATTATTATTAATAATTTTTTCTAATTATTTTAATTTTTATTATTTTATATATTAAATTTAAAATATTTATTATATTTATGAAATATTAAATTTTATGATTATATAATTTTTATAAATATATATATTTAAAAAATATTAAATATAATAAAATATTGTATATTATTATATTAGGTGGTTGAGACTGGTAGCGATGATAGTTTCTCAGATTCAGAAGAATCTCCAGAACAAAGAGGAGGTATTCTTACCAGACGACCATCATATAAAAAAATTCTTAATGACTTAGGTGGTGGTGAAATTACTGGTATGTAAAATTTTTTTTATAATATATTATATATTAATATATTAATAAAATATTAATTAATTTTTTTAGAATTAAAAACAAAACATTCTCATTTGTTAAATGTAATATAATTTGCTATGCAATTATTTATTATTTTTTATTTAAACTTATTATAAATTCAGATATACAGAATGTTAATATTTATTATCTTTGAAGAATCGATTCTAGATGCCAAAACAAATGTAAAAATTGATAAGAAAATGTTAGATGAGGTTTATTTATTAAATTATAAGCAATTTAAGTTCATGTTAAATGAAATAGGAATAGCTCATGATAGTAATATTAAACAATAAAGATTTATTTTTGTTTAATGCAAATTTCAATTGTTTTTAATAATTTTTAATTTAAATCTCATTTGACATTTTTGTATACTTTTATGTTTGTTTCAATCTCTAGAATCAACTTCTCAAAAATATATATATATTGTATATAGATTAAATAAATTAACACAGAATGGATAATATAATATGACTATTAATTTATTTCTTATTTAAAAAGATACTTCATATAAAAATTATATGATGTAAATAGAATATAACTTCATGCTATTATTTTTTTTTAGAATATTATATAATAATATATTTTATATAAGGATATTGAAGTCATATTTTTAAATAATATTACATTTTAATACAAATGGTTATAAAAATTTATTAAATCATTTATAGAAAATAAATTATAAATATTTTAAATTGAATTTTATAAAATTTATCATATAAAAAAATGTTAAATATATTTTTTTATTAACAAAGCATATTTTTTTATTTTAAATAATTTATAATATAAATAATTTTTATTATAATAAGCTCAATAATTTTTTTTATAAGGAATGCTTTGGCATATATTAATATATTGAAAAATATATTTCTAAAAAAGTGGAATTTAATATATTTTCCATATCTGCAACAAACTGATAACATCAAGTTATATTTTATATTTTATATCAATCAATTTTGATATGAAAAATTTTTAGTGCAGCAATTATTTAACAAATTATTTAAAATAGTCATGCTTCACAACTCATTCTGTATATAATTTTCCATATAATTTTTATAAATATAATATTATTCACAGAAATAATAAAGTGCATGTCAGTTCATACAATATACTTTATCTATTTTTATATATATTTTATAGGTAATTGCAATTATATCAACAATTATATTATTAATTAATTTAAATCTTAGTAAATAAATGTAAAATCGATTTATTTTATAAGTTATTTATTTAATGAATATTTAAGTGCATTAATTTCATTAATTAGTTTAAGAAGTCTGTGAATGTGATATTTTATGCCTTTTAATATTTTATTTTATATGAAAACGAATATGCCATACCAAGCTTAGAATTTAAGATAAATCATAATAAAATTTAAGACATTTTAATCCTAAAAAAAAAGCAACAAATTCTCCTCTAACCATTATATATGTAATATCAAAAAAAATATTTTTTTTATTGTAATAAATGAAATCCCACTATGCTTATTTGATATCAATAAATTTAGAATTACTTTTTTAAATAATTTAATAATAAATTAATATATAATAGTTATATTAATTAATTTTAATAAATTTTCATTTTTTTTGTATTTAATAAAAGTTTCATAAAAAAAAAGTAATAATAATTAAAATTCATTATTATTATTATAATATTTATACTTCTTAAGATAGTATGTTTTTATTATTAGTTTTAATTTTTATTTTGATCTATTTCCTTTTGTATGAGCTGACTGCACAGTATTATAGTAAATATATGAAAACAGCAGCCAGAAAGGAATAGCATATAAAAATATTTTATTTTCATTATATTTTTTAATAATGCAAATATTTATCTTTCTATATAGAGATTTTTTTAAATATACATATTATACCAATTATACATTTTTATACAATCAGAAAAGTTACTCAGAAGAAATATTAAATATTATTGTTTTAATAACATTAATAGAGATGAATATAAAAAATATAATACATTTTCTAATAAAAAAGTTTTTTTACATTGTGGGAATTTTTCAAGTTCATTTAGATTAAATAAATTAACACCGATAACAACTCTATTATAATAAAGGGTTGTACTAATTCGGTGTTACAGACGGTCGATTGCCCCCTCTAGAATCATCTTCTGAGTGTGATTCTAACGTGGACAGTGAAGTGTCTTCCCATTCGCTTCATTATCAGACAGGTTGGTTATTTTTTCTCCTATATATCTTTCCTGGCTGTCCTTTATTTAATTCTGCGCAATTATAATCTTTATTTTTTTAATTTAAAATAATGTTAGAGGAGTAAGTTAGAACTGGAATAAATTATTAAATTAAAGCATTTAAGCATAAAATTTAATTCCTTTTATCTTTTTATATTGCCTAATGTGATATTTTGTATAATGTTTGCTTGGTGTGGCATATTTGCTTATGGGGTTTTTAATTGTTTATGAATATATAGGTGTATAAATAATGTATATAATCATAATAATTGTTAAAAAATTATTCAGACTTAGTTTCATTTTTTTTTTTTATATATTATTTACTTAATAAATGAATACTTAGTAAATGAATTTTAGTAAAATTTTTTTTTGATAAAAAATTATATTACATGAAATAGGCTTAGCAATGAATATACTTTTATTTATCAATATAATATATGTATATTCAATATATATACATATATATATATATATATTTAATATTGATGTAATATATCAGTAATCATAATTAATACAGATTTATATCGCAATTAATATAATTTACAGTAATTCCTGCTGGTACCATTCAAATTGCAACCCAAGGAGAAGGTGTTCCTGGACTTCATACATTAACTATGAGTAATGCAGCAACAGCAGGTGGAGCTATAGTACAGTATGCACAAGGTCAAGATACACAATTTTTTGTTCCAGGTGCGCGTTTTTTCATAATTTTTCTTAATTCTAAGTGTATATTTTATATGTAAATTTTTTTTAAATGATTTCTAATATTTAATAATAAAAAAATGTTTTTTAATACGTAAATAATTTTTGAATATAAAAAATTAAAGTACAAAAAATAATAATAATATAAATTAAATATTTAATATTTGCACTAAATAATTATGAACAAAAAAATTAAAAATTTGGGGAATACAGTCTCTGACAATGTTTCAGCTTACACAGGACATGGTGTTGTAGTAGAAGATGCAGCTAGAAAAAGAGAATTGAGGTTGCTCAAAAATAGGTAAAATTTAATTAAAATAAAAATACATTCAATGAGATATTATATTTATCTCTTTATTTCTAAATATAATAAATATAAATTTAAAAATATAAAAATATTTCTTATTTTTACAGACAAGCAGCCCGCGAGTGTAGAAGGAAAAAGAAAGAGTATATAAAGTGTTTAGAAAATCGTGTTGCAATACTGGAAAATAGAAATCAGACGTTAATAGAAGAACTCAAATCATTAAAACAACTATGCGAACCGAAAACTGACTGAGGTTGGTGTTTAATGTTGAAACATTGTATGAAAACTATTAACTTGCTAAAAAAAATTGTACATGTCTTCTTTGTGTACATTATCTTAAAAGTTGTTAAGTAAGCAATGGTGATGTACATGCATTCTTATAAATAAGTGTTTCTGTAACATACTGTATTTAAAATGCGAATATAAAGGCTTGTGAAACTTGCTATTACTAAAGCGAGAAGCCAAAGGTATATGAGATGCAAAGATAGCAAACTTATAGGCAATATTCTGGAAGTCAATCTATATTTTGGATAACAATCATATAAATTTAGGTTATTAATGATTACATATTCAAAATATGTTGATAACGAGATAATAACATTAGTATTTGAAGCATATTCATTTATATTACAGTAACTATGTGATGTCAAATGATATATTTGAAACTTTCAATTATACATAAATATTATATTCTTATGTTTGATTCTATTTGAAAAAATTTTACATTAGTAAAAAATGAAGAGCATTACAAAAAAATGAGGAGAGTGTATTTAGTAATCAATTTAATATAAATAATTGGTCACTAAAAATACACATATTTGAGAGAAACGCCTTATACACAATATTTGCTAGTATAATTAGAAATTAGATACAGTTATAAATTAAGATCACATAGTTTCTGCATAAAAGAAACATAGTTGTTAGATAACAATGTCTATATAATTTTTTTCCAATTTCTTTATTCTTTTATACTTGAAAAAAGTAGATCCATTGAAAAAATGAATCTATTAGAAGTATTTGAGGCATAAATAAAGAGATTAGAGATAATTGTAAAAAGATAAATAGATCGAAATTCTACTACTTTGATCATTGCTGCTGCGACATGTATATGTATAAAATATTATCTCAATATAATTTTTTACTTTAAATACGAACTTCAGAAACATATTATGAAAAAAATGTAACTTATATAATGTAGAAAAGCACTAGTTAAAATATTTTCATTTGATTTTATTTTCTATTTTAAGACGCCTTAAGTGCGAAAAACAAGAATTTGTAAAATATAAATGTAATATATATAGATATATATATATATATACACATATATATATATATCTGGAGTGCCTTGAAGATTTCTGTATACATATGGTATACAAATAAACATGCGCAAGTGCGCTCATACATATGCATACCTAAGTATGTGTCAAATTACATATTTTAAGTAAATATGGGTACATGCAATATTTTTAAATCACATATTATGTTATAGTTTTATGTTCTGCGTAAAAATCGTACAGTTATGTTAAAATTAAAATTTCTATTCTAATATATCTCTATATCTTTTGGAATTAAATAAAATCTTTAAATTACTAGTATAAATTATATATTCTAAATTACATACAGATATAATTGAATCTAAATCATGTTACATGTAGAAAACAAAATTACAATCAAATAATTTATATATTATGATTTTTAACATCATGAACAAGAAATTATTTTTTAATGTCTGACACATATTTAAAAAAATTATTTGTCTAATGCATTTTTTCTTCATAAAATCAATGTTATATAACATAAGTATAAAACTATTTGATGTATAATTTTGATTGTTATATATTTATAAAAAAAATACAGATTTGAATATTGAAAATCCAGTTTGATCATTCGATAATTTAAAATAATTATTTAATAAGTTTATTAGTGCATAATTTGAACATTATTTGAAGAAATGATATTTTTTTTTATAAAATGTTAAAATATATTGTTATTTGTAAAATTATTTATATAAAAGTATAATAATAGTAATAACTATATACTTATATAATTTATATATATTAATTTTTAAAATATATATCAATAATATATATTTTTTTTAACAAAATTAAAATAAATTTTATGATCAGACTGGAAAATTTTTTTGTATAGGCACAATGCATAAGTTCTCAAATTATTTGCTGTTAAACTTTCACTTTGATAATAGAAAAAAAATAGTTACATATAATCTTCTTATGTGCTTAACATGTAATTTATAATTATACAATTTTATTGAATTAGAAAATAGATTATTTCCAAATTATTCCCTATAAAATGAGAGTACAATGTGCTTATAGTGATACATTACAAAATAAGAACTCACTATAAGTTTCTTTTCTCCGACAGATTTAAATTTGACTTTAATTTAGACTGTACACATCATCTGTGTTTTAATGTTAATTATATGTATGATATATGTATATCTTGATTATTGCACCGATAATATGAAATATTGTATATAGATAATACATGTATTTTTACATATCATTTGTCTTTAAAAAATATAATTCATAAACCTCCTAAGAACTCATTATTATTATAGAAAATATAACTAATACTAAAATTAAAACATTAAAGAAAAGACTGAAATTTAAATGCTTAAATATATTTATTAATAGGATATTGAATATATAGAAGTATATATTTTAAAAACTTTATTATATATATACAATTATTTTTTTGTTAAAAAAGATCATGCTATCATGGATTATATTTTTTTCATCTGAAATATAAAAAAACATCAGAAATTATATGTTCTATAAATATCATTAATTTTTAATTTAAATTTTAAAATTCAGTTGGTAGTGCATGTAAAGAATAATCATGAATTCATGAATAATAAAAATATCATCATAACAAATTCAAATATTAAATTTCATAAAAAAAACATTACTTACTATATTTTAATTTGTTGTATCCTTTCCAAAATATATATTTTTATTCAGAAATCTGAAATCAATATAACTAAATATAATTTTTACTAACAATAAAAATATTTAATTTCTTAAAATATATAATTCAGTTGGTAGTGCATGTATTAAAAAATCATAAAATCATAAATAATAATTCATCATATAGACTTTTAAATTATACATTATAAATAAATACAATTAAAAATATATATTAATCAATTACTTACTTAATTCTTTCTTGCTATTATTCAATTAACTGTTATAAAATTTATATATTAATTATAGTAAGATCAAATGATATTAATTATATGAAATAATATAAATAATTTGATAAAATATTTAATTAAAATTCTCGTAAATATGAAAGATCGGATAATTAAAACATTATTATGTAATAATGAAGATTAATTATTAAAGATGTTTTTAGATTATAAAATTTCGAATCTAATAAGATTTTATGCTAAAATTAAAATATACACGTGTATTAATTTAATTTTTACACATTTTCAAAAATTAAACAGAAAAATTATACGATTATATTATATTTATTTTTCAATATTTTCATTTTCAGTTTTCTATTATTTTTTCAATCAATCACTACTTTTATTTTTAATAATATATAATTTATATAATTTTTAAATCTCGTTTCGAAACTTTCATCATTCACCAACTACAAAATATTCTAAAAGAACGAACAACGAATATTAAGTTTTCACTTTCTTTCGACTTCGGGTAAATTTTTATGTATGCGATAATTTTAGTTAATACTTTCTAAAAAATATTTTTTACAAATATAAAATAAATATTATGAAATTTATAATATAAATAAATATATAAAATATAATTTTGTATTTAAATTTATATTTTAGTTTTTTTAATCTCATTTAATTATCCAATTAAAAATGGTTACATTTCGTATTTATGATAGATATATTTATATATAAATACCTATCTAGTTTTTACCAATTTAATTTCAATAGTTGCAAATGTCAGTCTTACAAGTAGTTACTAGTGAGAATTGTATGTTGTTCAGGAAAGATATGGAGGTAATTGAAAAATATTCCAACATGATTTTAATAGAGTTGTAGCATTTTTTAAATTATCAATTAATATAATAACAATCGTTACAAAAAATGCAAAATTTAAGTTTAAGAAACTAAAATTATGCATGAAAACAACATTAAGTAATGTTATTGATATTTTACACTATCATAATTGTCGATTATAAACCGCTTAATATTCCAATTTACGTAAGTTTATTTTAAATTATATATCATAAAAATTAATTGATACATCCATTTAATGCATAATTTTTAAAAACTATGAATAGCCAAATCATTTTTAAAAAGTTGGTGTAATGATCATGAAAGTATTAAACAATTTATTTTGGATACTGAAATTTCTCAATAATTCTGATTTATTGACACAGGCGAAAGGAAAATAAAGATGACGGAAAGTTTAATAAATGAATGGTTAGTAGACTGTGCAGATGTCTCACCTTCTGAACTTCATACTTTTGCTACTACCTTATCACAAGATAACGAAATAGTCAGAGCTCTTTATGTACTTTTAGAAGAACGTAGTAAATATAGTCAGGTAATATATTTCTGAACAAAATTTAATTTTAATTAAATTTCTTTAATAAAATCTTATATATAAATTTTACTAATATATTTTTTAATATTAAAATAAAACTTAAATGAAATATCTTTTTATTAATTTGATATTTTATGCAAAAACATTTAAATATACATCATATTTTATTTATTAATATATCAATAATGTTCTATTCATTATAGTTGGTGGATACAGTATGTGATCAGTTATATAATTTTTATCGGTCTCGAGAAACAGAATTACAAAGATTTACCTTACAATTTTTACCAACATTAGTATATATTTATTTAAATTCTGCAGCTCATGGTGATATTAAGGTAAGACTGTGTAATTATTAAGACATTTAAATACAAATTTTATTTTATATTTTACATTTAGATTTGAAATTGATATATAAATATCAATGTTATATAAGAGAACAATTATAATTTAAATTAAAATTATAAAATAGATACTTTATTTAATTATAAAATAATTGTATTAAAGTGAAATATTTAATAAAGTATTTTCCAATTAATTATAATATTCCAAGATAGTTTTTTTTTAGAAGTTTTTTTTTAATTATTAATTTTATTTATTAAAATTAAAATTTTTTTAAAGAATTTTATTAAAATTTTACATTCAGTATTTAATTATATTTATAAATATTGAAAAATACAATTCATAAATAAATTAATCAATGCAATAATAAAAAATTATTTGAAATATATATATAAATATATTGATATTATAGATTTTTATATTTAATAATATTTTTTAAACATTTTTTTTTTAAATAAAAATATGTTATTTCATATAATTATAATACATTCAAAAAATTTAGATAATTTTTAATGTAATTTTTAACAATTTAAAATTAAAATTTTTTAATTTAAAAATTAAAAAAACATTGGTCTAATCTATAAATTATATTTAAAAAAATATTATAATAATTACTTAAAAATTTAGAAAAAAAATTTAAATTCAATTATCTATTATATTATATAAATAAAAATATATTTGATTTATAATAGAATTATTTGATTCAATTAATTGATAATTTTTAGAATAGAATATTCATTAATATTTTTGTATTTTAAATATTTTATTAACGTAATAAAAAAATATTAAAACAAATTACTATTTCTGTACATAAGAAATATATTATATATATTTTTTCAAATTTTTAATTTGATATTATTTCCTATTTTATAGAATTGTCGATCTGTAGAAACATTATTAATTGGTCTGTACAATTTGGAAATAGTAGATAAATCTGGTCAGCAGAAAACAATTTCTTTCAGACTACCGTCACTTGCTATGATATCCATATTTCATGAGGTATTTTAATTTCAATTTTTATTTTAATTAAAATAATAATTGAATCTTACATAATATTATTATAATTATATAATTATTTTTTATATAAAGCCTGCAAGTTTGGCACCTGCTTCTTTAACTGAGAGTGCAGTACGCAGATTTGAAGAATGTAATACAAAACTTGTTAGTTGGGGTCCATTGCAACAAGTTGAAACACTAAATGCTCAAAATAGATTAAAAGTAATGACTGCTCTTCTTTTTATTTATAATCAACAACTTGGTTATATAAGTAAATTTGCATTGGAGCAATTATGCAAAGTTGCTACTAAGTAAGATAAAATTGTTTTTTATATATTTATTAAATATATAATAATTATTTAAATAATTGTTGATAATTGTAAATAATAATTTTTTAAATAATTTATTATAGACTTGTCACTCAAGGATTTATGAAGCCAGGACACCATCAACGATCTTCATATGGAAGCGAGTCTAGTTTTGTTCCAAGGCTTTTACCGCGCATACCTATTTCCAGTCAATTTCTTCTTGAATTTCTACATGCTGTATACTTTGCTATGTGAGTAATTTAACTATATAATATAATTTATATAATCTGTATAATTTTTAATTTATAACATTTATAAAAATAATAAAAATATTTTATTAAAATTAATAATGGAATTATACAAAATTCATAAATAATAATAATAATAATTAATATATATTAACAGGTATAATGACTGTTGGTATTTAGGGACACAAGCAGTAGAAGATATTCATAATCGAGCATGTTATGAAACATATCCAGATGTTATGCTAGTTACAAATGCTATACGTAATTCTGCGACTACTGGATCATCAGGTATATTGATGTAACATAATCAGTAATAAAAAGCACATTATATTTAAAATATAATATTTAAAAATATTTAATAATATTTAATTATGTCAGGTCAACCTAATGATGGACCAATAGGCATTAGCGTTGCATTATCGCCGGCAACTGCAACTGCAACAGTATCTAAATCGATGATAACAAATGCTTCGTTTCGAACTAAAAAATTACCAGGTATATTTTTTCTTTAAGATTTTTCATTTATTAAATTTTATATTATAATTGAGTAAATTAATATGCTCAGAAGTTTTATTTATATTAATTTCTTTTATTGTTCTTTTTTATTTTTAATATATATTTTAAGCACATATCTGAAAATTATTTTTATTCCCAATTATAAATATTTATATTAAACAGCATGTCATCAAATATTGTATAGCAATAAATTAGTATGCACTAAAATATGAATAATATGAATACTATATGAATAACATTAAAGAGATCTTAATTAAAAATCTAATTAAACAACAATTTTTTTGAATAAAAATTAAGAAAAAGAGTAATAAAAAAAAGAATAAATAAAGAGCAAAATATATACTATTATATATAGTATAGTATAATATAAGGTATTAATATATTCATAGAATAATTTTTGGAAGAGTGAATTCTAAAAATCAAAACAAATACAAAGTTTGTATAAAAATATCAGTTGAAAAATTATTTATTAAATTATAAATTATTGAAATTTGCGTTAGACAAAACAAAACAATAATAAAGTTCTTTTCATTATATTGCATTCTATTTTTGTCTTGTTTTTTTATGTCAATAATTTGCTTGATATCATTTTTTTTTATTTTAATTATTAGAGTCTCAAATGATGAGAAACGAAAAATAATATTTGTTTTTTTTTTTTTTTGAGATTTATTGAAAATATTTATTCTTATATGAAATCTTCATACATCAAATTTTCTTTTATTTTCTCTTACTCAAAAACTTCCATATATCTTTTATAATTCAAAGATTTTGTTTCTTCCTTCAAGATTAAATTATTAAAGTTTGATTATATAGAATAAAAAGAGCATAAGTATGATAACGTAATATATGTATAAATTTCGTGAAACGATTATAATTAATAATAATTCTAGTTATTTATAAATATATTTTAATTATATTTTTAAATTGAAATAGATCAAAATTTACATCTAATAATATAAAAGTTTTAAAAGTTTATACATATACAAAATGATTTTCTTATAAGAATTAATATTTCAAAGTCATGAAATATAATTTAATTATATTTCAAAAACAAATATTTACATAATAATATAACTTGAACAAATATATTTTATATATTGTTGAACTAAGCAAATATGCATTGCAAACATGTTGTCATTAGACGATCTGGATAAGAAGTTATTTGAAGATGCAATCCAATTTGAAAAACAACATCCAACAATATTTAATACTACAAAGCGATTTTCTTGGTATTGGAAAAACTCACTTCCAATTTCAAATAATGAAGATAACAAAATAAGAAATGTTAGTTCTTCTTCAATAGAATTTTCTAAACAAGAAAATGCATATAATCAAAATTTACTTATCAAATCTCCCAAACGAAACAAAGAGCATTTGAAGAAATATATATTTGAGAAAGATGAAGATCACAATATAAAAGTAAATCTTAAAATTAAAAAGGAATATAAAGAAAATGCTGATTTGATTTATGCTGATAATAAGATCGGATTTGGTTCGCATTTGTACAATGTATTGGAGGAACAATTTCTTGGTGAAATAATTCATGAATCGATGGAAAATTTATATCTGGATAAAAATAAATCAATTGGTTTTCATATGACTGCTGCTCTGTCAACAAATACATGGTACTAGTGATTCAGTTTCAGCACTTTAGAATCACTAAACATTATCTAAATTTCTTCAGCAAAACACGCGGCAAATTAGTTACACCATGTAACGTTATTTTAATTAGTAGTAATTTGTGCATTTATTAACAAATTCGTTTCAGAGGAACCACCATTTTAAAAAAAAAAAAATTACAGACATAAAATATAATGTATATTCAAACACACATGATGGAAAAGCTGCATGCAGTTTTGGCACATTTATTTTTATTGAAGATAGCGCATTTATAGTCCAGGTTTACCCTATAAATCCTTTACATTCCCATTTTATTTTTTCATTTTGATTTTTTACATTATATTATAATATTGAAATTAAAAATTATAAAAATTATTTGTTATTTTTAATTTATAACATGCATGGAACATTTCACTTATGGTTATATATTCATATTTTACAGATTTAAGCAGAATAATGTAAATATAAAAGCTTTATATCATTATACTTTGCTTTATATGAAGTGCTTAATTTTTTGCATTTTATATATATATATATATATATATATATATATATATATATATTTAGT